TTTTCTTCAGCCTGGCAATTTCCCAGCATTAGCCAGGGTCTGCCTTACATGTAGTGAATAGTTTTGGCTAATTGTTTTTACGACCGGCCGCCTGCCTGATATCAACCCGCTTTGGGAATGCATTAATCAGTGATGTCTAAATACTCTTAGAAAGTACATATGACTCGGAAAAATCACATTGGAACTTGCCAGGATCGAACCCAAACTCAGGCATGAGAGGCGGGCCTCTTAACCACTAGGCCACCACTGACTTAAACTTTGACAAGTTATTATATCTTTTCATAAATTAATTTATTAATATTTCCCTAACACAATTGTATCACTTCGTTTTCATACGATGAGATATAATTTTAGCATTTAATAACATATCCCTTGCATTTAATAATTAAATTTATCTCGCGGTAATCAAAAAGAAACCAAAAGTATTTGTTTACAATACTGATATAGTAATATATCGACAGTGATATATATCGTATTTAACTTTATTTACAATATACATATGTATATTATTCTGATATATGATTGATATTATTATAAGATTTCATTCAAAACAATATTTTTTGTGAGACGGACACCATAAATACAATATTTCAGGTTTAGGTAGGTACTATAATAAACAATAGAGCTATATTGATAAATGTGTCAATGATCCATTTGAGTTATAACGATTTTATGATTTTTTTTTAATTTTCATAGTTCTATAAGTGGAAGTGACGCTGAACATTACAAATTCTGTAACTGAACTGATAGTTTAAGAGTAGTAAATAAATAGCAGGTTCTTTTACTGTCTTTTTATATATAATGTGCACTAACCTCCATGTCCTGGGTTTGTTCTAACGTATGTGCACCGCCGCGGATGATTACAGCCTATATTCAAAGGAGGCTCTGAATGCACCTCGTTAATATCTCAGCGGGTGTTCGTATCGCTGTCGTAAACGATTACTATTATAATACATCGCTTTTTTAACATCGATTTAAAAAATAAATAATATAAATCAATTCCATTAAGTTTTTCAGTACTTAGAAATGTTTAAAGTCTATAGAAGTTGAATAAGTCGACCACAGACTATGAAAAATGTCAAAGTAAAATTTCGCTTGTCTCATTAGCTCCGACTAATGAATGCATTTCCAACGCAAAGGAATGAACTCTTCAGACTTATTTAAACATATAACATATATGTAGGTACGTGTAATTGTTGAAGCTTGGCTATAACAATTTATTTTTTGTGAACTTCTATAAAGAAAATTAAATTAAATGAAAACCAATTTTTTTTGAATAAGGCGTTACAAAAATAAACTTTTTTTTAAATAATAATAATAGTCTGTTTTATATATTTTTAAAAGTTTAAGCCGTTTTTAATGAGCTCATATGGGATGCTATGTAAAAAATATTCCCCAGCACTACATTCCGTCACGTGGAAATTTGAAAAAATCATTAAAACCTCTCTGTAAAATAGAAAGCACTTAATTTTCACCGTCGGCGAGCTCCCAACGCCCCGTGGTAAAAACTCCGTGACTTGCGAGCTTCATTATAAAACTCCAATGATGACGGCTGACGAGGAAACGGATACGGCAATTAAAATAACACTTAAATAATAATCAAAATAACAACTTCTAAATATTTTGAATGAAAATGTTTGAATAACAGTATCGTGTTAAGGACGTATTTATTACAAAATAGATATTTTAAAGTTTCTGACTAGATTTTCACAAAAGCAAAATGAGACGTCATAATCTTAGAGTGTAGATGAACGGAAGAATAATGCTTATCAATATTAAAAACGGAATTAAAATTACATACGTTGGAATAAATAAAAATCAATGGATGTTTACGTTATGTACGTTAGAAGTGTTAACTGCAAAAACAAACCTTAAATACAAAAGAAATTTTTCTGTCATATCCATAGTATGAAGTAATTATCATAATATCTGCCCGAACTCTTCACTACCGACAAACCGACGGATGGATTTAATATTAATAATCCGAGCCTCAGACACAGTAATGCAAGTCGAAATTAAATTTACAAAATCCTAAAGCCTGTTTCACACGACTGACGTTGACATTTATTTGACATTTTACGTAAACAATTTACACATTAAAATATTAAAATCATCTGAATTTGTATCGAACATTTAAACATTAAAATGAATAATGTTTTCCGTTGTCAAAAACAGATATAATTTAGAAAGAAATATGAAAATGTATTCAATATTTTTAAAAGTATGCAAGTCCTTTGAATATTCCCTCACAAAGCCCCTCTCAACAAAGAATACAAAATCTGGCCATAATTCATAAATATTCATATACCTACAGGAATTTGACTTTCCCCATGCTGATTTACCAAATGCTATGGTAGATGGTAGATTATATACAGTTTTATAGAATTTAAATTGATATGGATCTGACAAATTATTTTTTATATGGCAATAAAGAAATCGATATTTTTATAAAGCAATATTAAATATTTTATTGTTGAAAAATCTGTTTTTAATTAGCCTTGTGTTAACTATTTATTACATTTATATTACATTCCCACGTTATATAATATGAAATAATAGAAATAAATATGTATATTGAGTATTAGGTGTATTCTGTTTCGAGGTAAACTGCTCATTCCTGTAGAATAAGAAAAAATAATAGGGAAGATAGACTCCAGTTCCGTTGTAGTCTTAAAAGGTTTGGACTATAAACTTTTACATTACAATTTGTAAAAAAAATCATAAAAAGTTATCTCAGCGTTAAGTATGGCATGTTATTCGGTTCGTTGAAACCTCACGGGAAATCAGAATTCGCTTGTTACGCAAATCTAAATATAAACATAGGCCATCGATAGCAATTCTATCAAATTATTTTAATATGCTCCAGTAGCAAACAAATTCGATTGTTTCAAATATTCTAATTTTTCTCCCCTAAGCTTTGTACAGTCGGATAAAAATTTTTTAATGTCGTTTGTACATAAAGTATAAAGCCTGATTGGTCTCAGTAAGTATGGATAAAACGCCAGACGATTGATCTTGATGTTCAAAGGAAAAACATAATCCGACTTCACCAACCTCGTCTGAAACCTTATAGATAGAGATTACTAAGTTTGTTATAAAAGATTTTTCTGATCGTTATTATGTCTTATATAAATCCACAGACATAAAATTTAATATATCGGCTGGAGACTATAGAAAACTCAATACAAGTTTCACTGAAATTTACCCTAAGAGTTGGGGTGAATCATCTGTAAACATTTAAGACTTATGACAGTCAACCTGTTAATAAAACAAAGTATACTTAACTAGCGCCATCTAAATAAAATCTGGGAAAGTATTATAATCTGTAGATATTTCAATGTTCAAATAGTCTTCCAATGTGGTGTACAGATGTCGCTTTTAATAATGAAGTATTAACAAAATGGATATGATTATGATAATTATCGGACATCCTGAGAAATTGTAGCTTCAAAACGGTTTCATGGTCAAAATACAGACCGTTATCGGATTATTACTTAAATAATAAATACCTACTTTGATAATAATGTGTGCTAAGATTTCTGGATAGATGTTTTGTTTGATAAATGGTAGAATTTCATTAAAAAATACAAAGAGATAACTAAACTAATAATCCATAGGAAAAAAGTGATTGTTGAGCAGTTATGTGAATAAAAAGATTTACTGTTTGTTATCTCTTAATACTGTCCTACTAAGTACAATACACTTTAAGTTAAAAAAAAAATAACTTTGGACTGAAGTACAGTATATGGAAAAATTTAAATTGATTGTCAGCTTCGTTATTGACTAAATGTATTATTATCGGTCTGAATCAATTGCCTCACCTTTATTGACTTACTTTATTTGTTGTAAATACTAAACCATCATATTATTAGGTACCTAAATATATCTTAAAATGTTTATTTAAGAACATATGTATATCGACTAAAAAATGTTCTTCTTTTATCGCTTATCGTTTAAATAATAAATTTGAAACCTATTATCGCAAATAATATTTGGTGTTTAATAACCCAGATCGTATCTTAATCTTCGTTGTCAAACTAAACACATATTATCCACATGGAAAGCACATGTATTTTAAAAAGTCTATAATTTTCACAATATATTGTAGGTTTTCTTTTACATTTCATATATATACTAGAATACAATTTACCTTCTATTTTTTTACCTTAGAATTGATTATTTCGTGGTTAAAAATCTTATTTTCTTTGTTTTCGTCTTTGTTTTATTTTATCAGTATGTATTCACTAACTGTTTATGACCTACCGATGTCGTAACAAGCAAATAAAAAATACCTTTCGCTTTTAATAATATATGTCTTACCAATTCAATACTTTTAGCTTGTTTGAAGTCATTAACCTTCATCAGTCATCACTTAAATTTCGTCAAGAATCGCAATAAATCTTTGATGCAATAAATATATTGCCTCCTTTCCAATTTTTAGGTTTTACAAATTAAAATTTTAAGTATAATTTGTGTATAAATTATAATATACCGCTTAGTGACAGTCAATTAAAAGGGCGAATCTCTTTTTTATTTCATTCCATCTTTGCCGACTCTTATCAGTAATGAAACTTCATATCAATAAACATTTACACTCGACCTTTCACCCGGACGCGCCTCTGTCGGACGAGTGCCGAAATTGATTTTTTAATATGTTTAAAATAAAGTATTTCAACATAAAACAAAATTATCACACTTAAAAATGAGTTACCTTTCATGTTTAAAAAAACTGTTACATATATTTATCGATATATCTGAAATTGAATTGCACTAATTTATATCAAAACTATAATAAATGTTATTATTTTACATACACCATCGTCAGCAATATTCAAATATTGCAGAATAACAGACTTGATATTGAAATTTAAAGCGTATACATCAGTATCTACAATAATTTCAAACGGTCCGCTTCATTCACAACTCACAAGTCACAACAGTAAGTGACGCGGTCGTGAGCTGACACATAAATTGTTAATTGTTATAAAAAACTATACAAAATGTTAAAGACACTCTTCCACTTGTCGGTGTTCGTAATAAACTCGTCGTTTCTGTGTTACGACCAAATGTATCTTGAATTACCGATGCCAACGAAAGCCATGGAGAACTTACCGTTTAAATCGAGGAGCATGTTTTTAACGATATGGTGTCTGGTAAGCGTGTGAATTATATAGTAAATAAATGATTCATATAATTAAAACTTTCTTATGTCGTCGTATATAATATTTAAATTGGTCAAGGCATAAAGTAAGCAATTGAGAAATATTTAGAACCCAATACAATGTGTGTAAAACAGGTTCTCAATTTACACTACGTTTCTTTCACATACTTAATGTAGTAATGATAATTGTATTGTAAACAAGCAATGATAACACATTCCTGCAACAATTATTCATTACGTAATTATTCCCGCGGAAAAATTACTTATGATAAATATTTAAGAATACATCTCTTATAAAAAAAAATGTTATTAAAGAATATCAAAAAACTTTTTAAGCAATATTTTCTTCGCAAAGATTTAGAAGTTTTTGTATTTATCGAATTCGTTACTAATTGGTTTACAAAGTATTGATTACTGGAATGCACGCAGAAGATACTTTTATATTTGATATTTGATACATTTATATTTGTAAAAATATTACAAAATTTTATAGCAGTTTAAGATCTGCTTTAATTAAAAATACGATATTAATACCTTTACTGTACCAACTTTACAAAAGTTATACGATTAAGGTATAACAAAACATACATAATTATAAAAATTGAAAAGGTTCTTTCAATGAGGTTTATTTTTTCTATAAAATATCTTTAAAGCAAATCATGTTTCTTACGCATCCACAATTTACTTCGAGTAAGCCACATTCAACTTTGACCAAGCAGAAAGCCGGCTGTTATTTTACGTAATAATTACATACAATGATTTCAAAAAGTGAAATAGCCCACAATGTATGATGACCTGAGTCCTCTATGAGACCCTAAAAACATTATATTTTTAATATTTGAAGTTTTACAATCAAAAACATAACTATATACCACAACAAAATTACAAAACAACAAAGTTACATAATTAGATAATATCCATAAAAAAAATATTTTTTTATCAACGCTTTACAAAGTAAAAATAAAATTTTAATTTAACAATGTATACAGAATATGTTAATATCAGTAATTAATGCCGAATGCATTTTGATATATTAATTTAATAAATAAATTCATTACTTGTTATCTTTATCGCAGGAAAATTAAAATCGCAGGAAGGTGTTTTTTTATTTATTTTCTTAAAAGTGTCCAAACTTATAAAGCCAATGTGCAAGTTCGTTCCGATATCGATAAAATTTTCTGTTTTTTATTACGAACCAATGTGTGGTATATTTTTTTGCGGTTAAGAAAATAACATTTTATATGTATTTCTGTTGTTGTTGAATGTTTTTAATTTTTAATCTATTAGAAAAAACATACAATTTTGTTTGAAATACACGTCATAGTTTTTGTTATTCCTTCCATGTTAATTTAATGACAATTTACTTTATTAGCTAAAACATTAGTCACAGTTATCAGCAATTTTTAAATCTTATAAGAAAGTTTATTTAAGTAAGGAAAAAAGCGAAAAAGACATTATTTAAATTAACAACATATTTAAATTGAGGTTTTTGAGCAGTTTTTGCACAAATATTATTTTAGTGTGGGGTAGATTTTTATCAAAATATCGTTAAAAACAACTCCTCAACAGTCAGGTACTTAAAAAAAGAACTAGAAGTTATATGGCAATTCTTTTTAGTAACAATTTTACTACAAATAAACTAACAATTATATTATTTTTTTATAGACTGTAAATTTAAAACCTTCTACTTAATTCCGTGTAGTTTTTATTTTAAATCAGTTTTTGCGGTTAAGGTTTTTTAAATACGTTTATTTTGTTTAAAAATATTAAAAACCTCTATTAGTTCATGTGTTTTATAATTTATTTAGTTTATTATCTTCGTCAATATTAATGTAATAACACAAATAACTCATTGCCATCGCTTATTCCTATTAGAATTATCTGAAAGATAATTTTCTGATGTTAGGTAGATGTCAACACCGATTTATATGAAGACGTATTTGGGGCTTTTCACTTATAAGATTAGGATTTTTATTGATATTTAAGACATTTGAGAATACAGATTTTAAAACAAACCTATGGTTTACAAATGTACCACGGACAGACAAGATGACAATGTATTTATGTCTCGTAAATCCGAGAATTATTGTAGATTTATTCAATCAAGTTTGGTATTAAATAACAATTAGTTTCAAACCTATGTTTAGTGTGACAATTTTAAACTATAGAAAAGATTCTAAAAATAATTTTGAGTCATAAAAATATATACACAACTAAAATCACTTTTAATAACTAATGAGTAATCTTGGATAGACTAAAATATTATGTATATTAATAGATATTATTAACGAACAAAAATTATAGTTTATAAAAAAATCTTTTCAGGTATTGCAGACAATATACCACTTGGTGTCGTTTCTAAACGACATCGCGGGATCAAACGCGAGGGCGCCAAAAAAACCGCCTGTCATCAGAAAAATTAAAGACACTCTTTTCAGTGTTGCATTTACAGCAGCTATATACGTATCACTCGCGTTTTGGGGAATATACGCGGTGGACAGAGATCTTATATTCCCAGATGCTGTAGCAAAAGTATACACACCTTTGTTCAATCACATCATGCATACGACCATAACTGTGTTCATATTAATAGAATTATTGACATCCCACATAAGTTATCCGTCAAGAAAAGTCGGACTCAGCGCCCTCTTTACTTTCAAACTATTGTACTTGACTTGGTTCTTTGTTATTTACGTCAAAACAGGCGCCTGGCCGTATCCTATATTCGACAAGCTGAATTGGCCGGCAAGATTCGGGTTTATAGCCGTTAGCCTCTACATTGCTTTTATTTTCTATGTTATCGGCGAAAAGATTAACAAACTTGTATCTAGTTCTAAGGTTACGTACACAAATGGCACCACGAAATCCAAGCCAAAGAAAACTTAGAATTTAAATTGCTCAAATTATAATATAAAATATACAAATACATGTTTTTATGACTGCGTTTTATTCCTACACCAGGTTTGTTATCATTTAAAATGTATGATTAAGAAATGTAGTGGTTTCGTAATGATTTTTCTACTAACATTGAGGTCGGTTATTAATTGTTGCAAATAGTAAAACTAGATATGAAGAGACTTGACATCCTTTGCGTAATGGTAAAATTATAAAAGACGGTTATTGTGTGTGTGTGTGTGTGTGTGTGTGTGTGTGTGTGTGTGTGTGTGTGTGTGTGTGTGTGTGTGTGTGCGTGCGTATGTGTGTGTGTGTGTGTGTGTTTGTATGTTAAATTCACGATCCAAAAAAGTATCTACTAAAGTACTCAACATGTAAAGTGCAACCATTTCTTATAATGTATAATTGTATGTAAAAAATTAGAAACAAAAACGTTATAAGAAAGTAAGTATAATTGGTACATTTTCATAATAAGACAGCATTTTCGTATATTAGACCACCTGCTTTTTAATAGCAATGAAGCTATGATAATTGAATTAAATATATAGGTATACTTATATTCTCTTTTAAATTATAGTTTTTTCCTTGAAGTTTTACAAGACAATAGAGATTTAATTACTGTATTAATTTAAAATTATCTCAGGACAATTATACATGAAGAAGATAATTATAAGTACAGAAGATACAAATTACAATGTCTTAAACATAACTTCAAAGATTATTTTATTCAATACTTATTAAAATGTTAGTAAGTATATCTGCAGTGGCGTAACTACAGGGTGGCAAGTCGGCAAAATGCCACGGGCCCCCAGCCGGAAGGGGCCCCCGGTCAGAGGAGAACCCCAACTCCCAGCATTTATTAATTATCATACATGTTTAGTAAAAAAAGTTTTGTCTAGAACAACTTGAAAAGTATCGAAATGAATTTGAAGATTTAAAAATGGAGGCAAATAGTATTGCAACGAAATGGTCTATAAACCCTGAATTTCCTAAAACTCATCAGAGAAAAGTGAAACGTCATTTTGATGAAATTTGTGAGGATGAACGTCTCCAAGATCCTGAAAGCTTGTTTACCGTGAGCGTATTCTATCATGTATTAGACATAATCATTAATCAACTGAGATCGCGTTTCCTAGGAATGAATGAAATTGTTTCCAATTTCAGTGTCTTGCAACCTGCCACTTTAGAAAATTTGAACGATACTGATTTGTTGGAGAAGGCTTTAGCATTTGTCCATCTATATAAAGAAGATATATCCATCTCGTTTTGCAAAGAAATTCTTAGTTTCCGATCCTCTTTTAGACACGAAATAGAAACATCATCTTCTATAAGAGAACTTGCTGACTTATTAATAATAAAAAATCATTTTATATCTTCAAGCTTTCCTGAAGTGTGCACTGCATCTTTATTATTTCTCACCATTCCTGTGACTACGGCTAGTGCCGAGCGATCGTTTTCAAAACTGAAATTGATAAAAACTTATTTAAGAAATTCTATGGGACAAGACAGGTTAAGCAACTTAGCTATTCTATCCATCGAAAATTCTATGGCCCGAAATTTGAACTTTGATGATATCATTACCACCTTTGCTGAACAGAAAGTCCGAAGGAAGGAATTTTAATAATTAACATTTTATATTTTGAACAACTTGTGTGCTTTTAACAATATGATTATTCGGACTGCGTATATCAAATTGCTTTTTTTGTTGTTCAAATCATTTTGACAACTCTATGTGTCTATATCAATAAGATGCTGACTGTACTTTTTTTTTTATTATTTGAAATGGGCTTGCTCTTGACCACAATCATGTCTAAGGTATGATGTGGCCTACGATGGAGCGAGCTTACCCAGAAGATGCCTATTCACGTTACTTTTGAAACATCCAGGGTTATAATTAGGTATATTAATTTTAAAGTGAATTATTAGAAAATCAAGTACCAAAGTATAATTATAAAGTTTGTATGTACCTACTTAACGTAGTGATTTATTATTGTACTCTTGCAAGTAAAAGTGTATAAATAAGTATTATAAAATAAAAAAATATTATTATTGTTGGTTCATTTTTTTTGTATTGGGGGGAGGGGCCCATCCGATGAATTTGCCACGGGCCTCGAACGGTATAGTTACGCCACTGTATATCTGTATATGTACTGCAATTTAAAATGTTTAAATTTGATAAGTGAATAAAAGATTAAATCAAGTTCCTTTTGCCTATATTATTTGTCCTTGAAGTTATTTATAAAAATATTTTTATGATTCTATAAAATTATTTCTAAGCACATAATTTTATGTGTTTATATTCATCTTTGTACCGGTTATACGTATTAACATTATTGCATATATAATTGTCTTTATATTACAATGAGCAAATGAACTTCGAATTTTCTAATAGTTATATTTTAAAATTAAACTAATGTTGAGCTGTTACTTGCATTAAATTTCAATATAAAGGATTCGATCAACAAATCTTAATGTTACGTTCCAGTTTCCGTACTTATTAAGTTATTTTGGCCTCAGTGTAATGGTACGAGAGCTAGCAACGTCAAAAAAACAAGAATTTCAGGTAGGCTAGTTTTTAGATATGCTATCTCTCACACTCCCCTGGACGTCATACGGGCTATCTGGCTGCCGGTAGTGGTTGCGTTCATCAGTGCGCATCGTACTTGTGCAGGTAAACGAATTATTATTTCAAATCATTTTAAGAAGGTTTTTTTTATTATTATTATTTTTATTGAACTATTCACAACATAAATTTATTATTGCCAGATAATTTTACTGTTGTTTAAACGGTGCCAAACGGCAAAGTTGAATTTAAAAAATTTTTTTTTTCAAAATATTTTAGTATAGCTGAAATTTTAATAGCATGTTATTTAACCATCTAAAAGCTCAGAATTAATTTACCAGACAAGAAATCGGTTGTTAAACCTTTTACCAGATCGAAATAAACTGTAAAGAGATGTAGTATCATTAGCTTGGTCTAGAAAATTAATCGTCTAATAAATGATGGAAGAAGGATTAAAAACTATTGAATTTATTTATAGATGAATACAGTATAAAAATAATACTTTATTGTTGTACAAAATTGAGATAATGTTCAATGTTAAGTTTGAAGAAAGACTAACCGCTTCACGTATGATTTCTATAATTTGCAAATTTTCGTTTAGTTTATTGTAAAGAAGTAAAATTTAGTCTGTATATAAGTGTTTATGTGGAGAGATGGTGAAAAAACGTAAAAAGAAGGATTCGGATGAGTCCTTGAATTTCAGCACAAGCAGCGATTCCGATTGCGAGGATTCGCCAGTATTGCAGGATGCAAATGCCTTCGCTCCCTTTAGGGTCGCTGATTATTGTCGGCGATACCCTGAAGATGCGGAAGCCAAGTCTGAATTCATAGTACATATTTGTCGAAAGTACTAGTGATGTCCCACTCGGTAATAGGGACATGATGTCGCTTAGAACTAGTTTTATACGCTCTGTGAAAGGTATACAATATTTTAAAAAAATAAATAAATATAAGGTCGGTGTAGTTTTCCAATGTGCGAATTTGGCAAATACCTTTTTAGAAAATACTACATATCTAAAGGAACAAATACTTAAAGTTTGAATACCAGCAGGGGCCAACGAACTATCGGGAGTTATCTCTTCGGTTCTCACTCATCTATCCAATCACAAAATGTATAAAGAAATATCAACAAAAAAAAAACGTCATTTCTGTCCGACGCATAATGCGTAAAGTAAAAGGAGAAAATAACACCTTCACACTGCAACCTACTCAGAGCGTAGTAATAACTTTTGCGTCTGCTACGTCACTGCCGGACTATGTTCACATTAAGATGTGGCGCCTGCCTGTCTCCACATATGTCTCACCTATAAAACAGTGTTTTAAATGTTTACGCTATGATCATCTGGCTAAGTTTTGTAAAAATACACCGCGATGCTCCATATGCACAGAGGGGCATTCTTTCAGAAGAATACAAGGTTAACATTGAAAAAGTTAAGTGCATTAATTGTAATGGTAATCACATCGACATCTCTAGCCAGTGCCCTATAAGGCAATAGAAAATCACAAACAATAAACCCAAGTCATATGCTGACACGTTAAAAGATTCATTAAATTTTCCCTCCCTTATTAAAAAATTAAATACTCAAGAAGTAATCAGAGCCATACTATCAAATTCTGAAGCAATGACTCTATTAACAGAATCTATAGTAAAAGTTATAACTTTAAATAAAACTCAAAATATCAGTATTAGTTTACAATTTATTAGCTCAGCTATTAAAGAAACCATCCAGGATAAAAATAGCAAATCGTCACATTCAACCACCAAATCTTAAATATTGTACAGTGGAACGCTCAAAGTCTGTTAAGTAACAGACTTGAGTTTCAAAATTTTTTATACCAAAATAATATACGTGGTTATACCATTATTAGGAATGACTGCGGTAATGATCATAATGGCCTAGCAATATTAATTAAAAGTGGTATACATTTCTCTAAACTAGATACTTTTTATGATGATTCGTTACAAAATGTTGTAATTGTTATTAAACTGAAACATAAATGCATTTCCTTGGTTAGTTTTTACAGTCCTGGTAATAGTTTTCCTGGTTTTGAAAAGGCGAAGTTCGATCGTTTATTGTACAGTATTCCAAAACCGTTGATATTTGCAGGTGATTTTAACGCCCATCATACTTTTTGGGGTTGTAGTCGCATAGATTCTAGGGGCAGAGCTATTAGGGATTCCATGGATGACAATGACTTAATACTTTTAAATAATGGTCAATCAACCACTATAGGCTCTCATATTTGGAAACCAAACAGTCTAGATTTGACTATGGTGTCTTCTTCTTTATTTCCTTCTTGTGACTGGCAAGTTCATCAGGACCCTTTAGGCAGTTATCATCTGCCAACTATCACAAAATTTACTCTCGTAGGAGATCAACATGAACCCTCTTTTTCGTTGAACAACATTCCTTTTCACAGTAATCTGTAATTAGTAAATTGGGATAGGTATGAACAAATTGTTAATGAAATGTTAATGAACTTTAAAGTTCACAAAAGTAATCTGCTTCACTCATACAGAAAGTTTTGTGCAATTATTCTATTGGCAATCAAATTCTCCGGGCCCAGCTTAAACCATAACACAACTAATAGTAATAATAACCGTCCTAGAAAAAGGTGTCAAGTACCTTGCTGGAATGATAAATTTTCAAAAGTAGTAGAAGATTGCAAGAACGCCTACATTAATTTCAAAACTAGTCTTAATAGTAAAAATTACATTAATTTCAAACGCGCACAAGCCTTTAAAAAACGCACTTTAAAAGAAGAACGTTGTAAAAGTTGGTCTGATTTCTGCTCATCAATAAATCGTTTGACATCTATAAATCGCATTTGGACTAAAATAAGTAAATTCAAAAAAAGATTTCCGACTTCCAACTTATTTTCTGACCTCAATTGGGCTCAAACATTTTTATATAAATTCACACCGGCTACTGTTTCACAACAGATAAATATAGATAATGTTCTTGGAGTAAATAGTGATAATTCATACAGATCGGTTGTTTTACTATGCAAGAGTTAAAATCTGCTTTAGCCTCAAGAAAAGATTCTTCATGTGGCCTGGATTGGCTTTCCTACAGAATGTTCAAACTTTTAAATGTTCAAACTCTGTCTATTTTTTTTTAAGATCATTAAATAGTCTATGGTCGTCTACTATTATACCAGAGGGTTGGAAAACTGACTGTTTGGTACCAATATTAAAATGGTCTGGCAAAGACTTTAACTTGGCTGATTCTTATAGTCCTATTACATTAGGTTCATGTGTTGGAAAAATTTTCTAACAATTAATAAAACAGAGATTAATTTTTCACATAGAAAGTAATAATCTTTTACCTTACAATCAGTTTTTCTTTCGTTGTGGCCGTTCTGCTTGTGAGAGTCTACGTCATTTCTGTCTGGATATCCACAATGCTCATTCCGAGAATAAAGTACTAGTTGGTGTTTTTCTTGACATTGTAGGGGCTTTCAATAATATAGATCTGAACAAATTATCCTCAGTTTTATTATTACTGCGGGTACCTGGAAAAGTTGTAAATTGGATTTTTAAGTTTTTGAACTGCAGAAAGGTGTTTGTTAAGGTTAACAATCAGTTATTTGGTCCAAGATATTCTTGTAGGGGGTGGTGTATCACAGGGTGGCGTATTGAGCCCACTGCTTTTTATCCTATTCATGGATCAGCTAAATTTAACTCTGGGGTGTGAAGTATCTAATCTGCAGTTTGCAGATGATTTAGTTGGTTATTGCTCTGATACTAAATTTTTACGTGTACAAGCAATGTTGATCTTCAAAGACTACAGAACTATTTTGATAGCCTTGGGCTGGAGGTCAGCAATGAAAAAAGTAAAGTTGTTGTTTTTTCAAAAAATGGAATTAGAAATGGGAATGTAAATATTTTGTTATGTCTGTAGAGAGCTCTGTAAAGTTTTTAGGTGTTATTTTTACAAACAATTCTAGATGGAATAAGTATGCTGAAACTCTAGAATCTCGAGCTTTAAATGCTTGTAATTTTTTAAAATCTTTAACAAGCACATATTGATCTTCAAAGACTACAGAACTATTTTGATAGCCTTGGGCTGGAGGTCAGCAATGAAAAAAGTAAAGTTGTTGTCTTTTCAAAAAATGGAATTAGAAATGGGAATGTAAATATTTTGTTATGTCTGTAGAGAGCTCTGTAAAGTTTTTAGGTGTTATTTTTACAAACAATTCTAGATGGAATAAGTATGCTGAAACTCTAGAATCTCGAGCTTTAAATGCTTGTAATTTTTTAAAATCTTTAACAAGCACATATTGGGGTGCTGATCCAAGGATTCTATAAACATTGTATAAATCATTAGTAAGGAGTCATTTTGAATATGCTTTTTTTTGTTTTGCAGGGGTAAGAACTATAGTAGACAAATTAGAAAAGATACAGAATAAATGTTTGCGTATTATAATGGGTGCCATGCGAACTACTCCCATAGTGTCAATGCAGGTGGAATGTAATATGAGGTATAGCACTTAGGTTTAAATACTTACAATAAAAAATGTTTGCAAGGTTGCTCTCCATTAGTAATCATCCACTTCTTGTTAAACTGCAGGACACTATTAACAGGACTGCCAATACTAATTCATATTTGTTTCAAGGTTTTTCTGAAACAGAACAAATTTTTAATAAACATTATATATTTTCTAGCATGGTATGGCCTGGTTACTCTAGGTTAAATGAATCAAAATTTATTGAGATTAAAATTGTAGTCAAAAGTCTTCTAAAGTATAAGGAAGACATTTATAGGGAACTTGATAGGTGGCAGAGATATCATCAGATATATACGGATGGGTCTAGGAACAATGAAGCAGTCTCTATAACTGTCTATAATAGTCAGGTCAAAAGGGGATTTGGTCATAGGCTGAATCCACTCACAAGCACACACTCCGCTGAATCCATAGCTGTGTATACAGCTATGGAGCACATTCAAGCACAGACTCATCAAAAGTGGATAGTTTAAGTTTATTAACGGAGTGCCGTTTGTAGTGACAAAATTCACAAACTAACTATACAGTAGGACTTTGATTATCCAGACTAATTGTTGTTGGTAGGCATCCGGATAATTGAAAGTCCGGATAAACCAATATATGAAGAAAAACGGGCTTTTTGCATATGTACATATGTAGTCTGTACCATACATATGTAATGTTAGGTGTTTATTTAAAACAACAAATGCATATGAGCGAAAATCAACCTTTATTAAGAAATTATACATAATGTACGTATAATTGTTATTAGTGGCGTGGCATTATGTAAGTTCTGACATGTTAATGTTACAATAAACTCGTCGCAATTGGCAGTCCGGATAATAGCGAATTCGGATAACCGAGGTCCGGATAATCAGGGTCCTACTGTATTATATATAAAATAAGAGAGTTGTATCATCTACTGACTCAAAACAAGAAAATAGTCCTATTCTGGACACCAGCCCACATTGGTGTGCATGGTAATGAGCAAGCAGACTATTTAGCTAAATTTATTACAAATCCGGCCAACAATCAATTAAGTCATAGCTTTTTAAATTTCCCAATTCCTTATTTGGACGCTCTATCCCTCTTCAAACTCACGTTACAGAAAGAATTTTACAACTTGTGGCATCAGGTGGTAAAAGGAAAATGGTTAGCTACGATAAAGAAAAAGGTCTTCCCCCTGGTTTACCTGGGGTAGTGACTAATAGTCACTACCCCAGGTCACTGACTATAGCCATAGAAAGTATTATACCACAGTCTGTCATTTGCGTCTGGGACATTGTAGTTTTGGTGCTCACCTTATTAGGATTGATGTTTTAGACTCTTCAACTTGTAGATATTGCAATAGTGCTGATGAAACCCTCGAGCATATATTTTTTGATTGTCCACAGTTTAGTATTCAAAGGATGGTCCTTGTAGACCAACTTTTAAGTATTTTTAAAACTGCTGAAAATATCCCGCGCTCCCTTCAGCAAATACTAAGCATTCAAGAATGCTTCTTGCCAGTTTATGGCTTTATTGTTTTGTTATTTGTACATATGTATATAATACTAATTTGTTCGTTTTGTTTAAGATATTTGTTTTCAGCTATTTCAGCTATTTTCAGAATTTAACTGTTATATCGATTTTGACAAATTAATTATTGTACTAAAAATGACATTACAAGGACTTGACAATTGACATTGAAAAAAGACGGAATGTAAAAAATTGATAATACACTATATTAGAAAAAAGAAAGAATTTGACAAAAATTTTTTTAATAAAGACATGGCTTCGGCCTTAAAATTAAAAAAAATGATTGAAGAAGAAAATTAAAAGAAGACATGGCTTAGGCCTCATATAAAAACTTGAGTCAAGAATAAAAACGAGAATAAGATATGGCTCCGGCCTGACATTTAAAAATAATCAAAAATACAAAAGACATGGCTGTATGGGCTTGGTTCTCTTTGCCTGTTCTGAACGGAACGAATATAACCAAAATAAAAAAGTAATGAACAATCAAAGGATGTGTTAATAAGAACAATAATTTACAAATATTTTATTTTTTATTAAATTATCTAAAACTTAAGTAGCTTTGTAAGTGAGTAACGTGTTTCGGGCATTTGTTTCTTCTCGTGTATCGCTAGGTGTGATGGTGCAAACGTTATTTTGTTATAAGCAACTCTTCTATGTAACAGAGTTATCATGTGCAAGAGATCCCAAGACTTCTGATATTCTTCTATAACGTTACAAAGCTCCTGTATCATGAAGGAACCGTCTCTATCTCTAAACGAGACATAATCTGGAAAAGGCGTTTTAAAAGTTTATACATAGTTTTGTTATTTCATCATTACGTTTCTAAATTTCAGAGATTTATATGATAACATATTTTTTAATTACTTCCTTTGTATGAATAAAAATAGTCTTTTCATATTAGTTAAAATTGATATATTATGATAGCCAGAACATAGCAATTTTCATTGTTTTATATAGACAACAGTCTAATAATAAAAGACAATTTAACAGTCTAAAAATATCAAAAGTAACTAATAAATTACTTTTTTACTTAGAGCTAATTCGAAGAAACCTTTTGTTTTTTGTACATGATAAATTTACTATAAATTTGGTAGCGATAAAATCTAGACGTGTTTCTAGGTTTCCGCTTCTGTACAAGATAATCACTTTTTTGTGATGATACATTTAACTGAATTAGAAAAAACAATCCAAAAAGCTGTAACTACATCTAATAAACATATCTGCTTAAATCAAAGTTCTTCTTAAATCGTCTCTACATAGTTTTTTCTGGTTACAAACAGTACGAACGATAATTTTTGAATACTTGCGATATACCTTCAACAGTAGAATATAAGACGAGGAAATCAGCGTGTGTTGGAATCACAAACGAGGCCGCGCTGCCGTCAATCTCAAGTCTTCTACCAGCGTCCACCAAGTTACCACGACACGCCTAGATTTTGGTTCAAACATAAACGTTATAAATAAAATAATCAAAGTATATACATTGATATATACATATATGTATATAACAACTCAGCGTTTCAGTACTGAACCGTTTTTTTGGACATGGGATCCGTTTTAAGACCCTAAAACTTAAACTAATGGTCCGATCTAATTTTTTTTAATAAAAACCTTAAACCACCCCAGATAATTGGCCTATCGAGAAAAAACTCGACTCGATTTGACATTCATAATTTTTAGAGTGTAACTTCCAACAATGTTGCGTTGAATATTTAACGCTCCGAATGGGGGAAGACACTAGACAGAGCAAGAGGGAATGCGTGGCGCTCGAAAGCTTGCGGGCAATCCATTGTGACTTGCAAGTAATGTTAATAAAGTTTGTATCAAAGAAAAGCTAAAAAATTCTTTAAAAATCAATTTCTACCCCTTCCTGTTTTCATTTCAACATTATGAAGTTTCACTTCTACTCAGAGGGATTCCACGCACGATTAATTTTTTTTATATACTGTCTTAGAATCAAAAGGTATTAGTTTAATTAGCAAATCATTATATAAAAAATTAAAAGTACCTGAACGAAGAACAGTTTCGGTTTCCCCACGAGTCCATCGTCGCCGCTCTCCAGCATCATGGTAATATCTCGGAACTGATAGGGTCTGTCACTCGCGTACAAATCCCCACACTTGTCACCGTGTGTCAAAAAAGCGAAACACACGCACGACGTAGCTTTGTGATTTTGTTTGCTAACTAATACATTGGACAACTCACTAGTTGATAGTAGTTTTTTTTTGTATATACAGGGTGACTGGTGAATTACTATCAATATTTAAGGAGCATACTCGGTACATGATTCTCATTCGAATTATGTAAAAAAAATAGGTACTTAATTTTTGACCAAATTTCCGTATAAATAAATAAAGTGTGTACACGTTCCAAGTGTTCCAAGTGTGGACGCGTGCGGCGGCGTGCTGATACAACACTACGCCGCCGCCGCGTCTGTGTGAGTGTGTGTGTATGCCTAATCTGTAGGGTGTTTATACGATGCGTAATTAATTACATAACTTTTGGTTAACTTTACTTAGAAGTTTATTAATATTTATGTTATATTAATTTTTATTTTGTCATATATGATCGTCAAATATCACGTCCTCAAATATCGATAGTAATTCACCAGTCACCCTGTATATGTACACTACACATTAAATAAAACATTGCAACAGTCATGTTAATTTTATTTTTTAGCAAGAAAATGAAATGCATATCGTTTTTATCGTCCTTAGCTCCTATATATCGTCCTTAACTAACAACACATTTTTTTTACATTTTAATGTCATATTTTTACATTTTTAATGCCATTGGATGAAGCTGCGCATTGCGCGTCGAAATCGTCGAAATAAGATTAAATAATTATTTTTTAAACCGCTAACTAGAGCATGTATTAAGTAGCAATAGAAAAAAACACAGATAGTTTAAAGTAACAGTTATTTCATCTCCTGTAAAATTGGTAAAAATGATTTAAGCGGTGTTGTAAGCTAAGAGACCATATTAATTATACTATAGGTACATTAACATTCGAACAATCGTATTCGGTTTGCAATTTCATTAAATTAGATATTTTATGTGTCGGTAACAAAATATTTTGTTTTTGATAAAAGAAACCCTTGATGACGAAAGTAAATTGAATCCTCACTTGTATTATAATTGTGAGAATTATCTATTCCTTTTGAAGTGAAAAAAATTACTCACATCCTACAACAGCGTCGAAAATTTCACCGTGACTCAAGTCATCGTGAGTTGTAATTTTGAATCCTAATTTTCCAAAAACTTTTTCTAACCTTTCAACATCTTTTTCTGTTCCATTTCTAGTTGCTGGTTTCCTGTAGCTGGAACATAAAATTATAGTATTGAAATAAAATAGTCAAAAACGAAAGATTATAATCTGTAATCTGTGGGCAGACCTAAACTAATGGGATTTTTTTTATAGAGCTTAATATATCTATCCTTCGTTATTTTGAATTCGCCAACTTTTTTGTCGCTTATTTACTTATAAATACCTCTTTGATGAATACCGATTCTTATCTACTCTTCATGGGATATATCTTTTCGTCATGGGAACGACAAAGAATTTTCAAATACATGGTTATTACAAGATGGTTGCAATTACAGAGTCTTAGATAGATGAGACGTTATGCTTTAGATGTATCTATATTATTAAATATATAATATTTTATAAATATCGTACTAGATTAAAACAAGCCCCACTGATTCCAAATGTTTATAAACATTTAAGACAACAAAACAGTTGAAACAAATCACTATTTCAGTTTATTTAGTGTAAAGAATCATTAAATTATTATAAAGTAAAAAACGAATTATTTATAACTTCTAAAATTAATAAAAAGTCATACAAATACAATTTTATTATTTTTACCAATTAAAGGTACCTAATCATTAAATAAACATCACTGTTTTCCTGACTTTGATAAAACAAAATAATCCAGGAACTACTTAAACTAAGTCTAACTAGGAAACTGATAACAGCCGAACAATAGTTACAAGATTATATGAATACAACAAATTATAAGTATGTAACTTTTGATAAAACTTAAATTCTTAATGATAAATAAACTGCTTATAGCTAATAATAATAAGATATATTGCAAATAATATATGAAATTACGATGAGGTTAACGTTGATTCTAAATAGTATTTAAAAATAAATATAGATTAACATGTAAAATAACACAAATTATTACACTTACTTAAAGTAACGAGTCTTTTCAAACTCGTAGTGGTTAAAAATTACAAGATACTTGTCGCCCGACATGTCATAATACATTATATCTTCATCAGTAATTATTGTTTGAGATTCTTCTGAAGGCATGAAAGTTCTAAAACCAAGAATAATTTAAATAACATTAAATCACTTTCCATAAATAAACAACAAAGGTATCAATCACAACTAGATACAAGAATAATAACAGTTGTGAAATTCAGTCATAAGTGAAAACGGAATACTTACTCAGGATTAATAATTTCCTCTATATATGGACTCCCGTCTATTACAGTTTCGTTCATTTTAAATATATTAAATGAACTATTTGCATATATTTTTTTACGTTTATCCAAATACGTGTCTTTGTTTGGAATATAAAAAACAATATAAAGTGAGTAATCAAGCCAATAAGTGATATCGAGAAGATAACGATGATAATTCCGTTGATGCATCGCTTCTCTAGATAGGAACTCGGTGTAGTTAAAAGTACCTAATGCGATGTGTAACGGGGGTGGCCTAACAGTTACATTTCTACGAAAGATATATATTTTTTTCCGAACATTCGTTTCCTAACATTGATAAATCAAGCGTCATGTTAGCTCAGATAATTGTTTTGAATATAGGTAATATGCATATTTTTATAATAGTAAAAAAATATATTGAACTATTATCCCCACAGATATTATTAAAAGGTATGATGTGTAATGACGTCACGAAACCCATGACTGACGGTCAGTCATTAAGAACTAAAGAAATCGCGTATACATCCCTACTAATATTATAAATGCGAAAGTAACTCTGTCTGTCTGTTACGCTTTCACGCCTAAACCTATGAAGTTATTTTAATGAAATTTGGTACAGATAGAGTTGACCTTGAGAAAGAACATAGGATAGTTTTTATCTCAGGCTTTTGAAAGGTTCTCTTGGAAACGCGATATAACCGTAGTCCACGCGGGCGAAGCTGCGGGCGGAAAGCTAGTTTCCATAATCTATATATTTAAGGATATCCACATGTTAAGAATTATTCATTATTCACTTACATGTTAAGAATTACTGATAACATTAATTAGTCATCTGATTTTCAAGTATTAAAATAAACGAGACAATTGTTCGAGTTGAATTATTAAGGAGACTCATTTTAATATATATTATTTCGATACATTTTCAGACCTCTCTTAGATTACCAAAGAAGGTCACCAAGTTGTTACTAGCTGTTGTGTAGTTATAGCTCATATAATATGCCCATCTCTCCGGCAGGCAGATGTATTTATTGATAAGAAATATGTAGATTTTATGCCTTTTTCTGATTTCTTAATGAAACTGTTAATAAATAACTTTCAAATCCAAATTAAGTTCATACATTTAATTGCCATAGTTTTTTAAGTGATAATTACTTAGGGGTTTTTTTGTAAGTATGTACAGGAAATATAATGAAATACAATATGTACAGATAATAACATTTATTTTAATCAAAGTTTTTATCTTCTGCTCAACATTTGAGAGTATCTTAATTATAAAAATATTAAATTTACTCAAATCTTAATTATTATTATGTAAGGAAGACTACGAATTAAACATGTACAAGTATAGAAATTATATTTTGACATCTGATTCAAAACCTTTGACAATAAACGAAATATCATTTTCATCAGTCTCATTCTTTTTCCTCCTTGGACGTTTCTTCTTAGGAGACCACGGGATAGTTGATAACTTCATTTTTTCCATTAAGTTATTCAGTACAGAAAATATACTTTTATACAATAGCAAAACTGTATGAGATCCTTTTAGATATTGTCGTAAGAAATTCATAGGATCCTTCTGATTTTCGAGTTTCAGTGCGATGTTGTATACAAATACACCATTATAACATCTGTAATATGTTGTACAATCGAATGGCGAGCCGCAGAATGTGTTTAAGCTATTTATAGCTTGCAACGAAACTTGAAACTGCGCCATACAGTGTATTTTCTTAATATCATAACTTTTAGGTCTCTTACGCACGCTTTCGTCTATTTCAAAGTGTTTTAAAAGAACGCTAGCAGCTACAACACAATCTTCATATAGAACCTTGTTTTTATTGAGGAACAATTCTTCGTTAGTCTCATCTGTTACTCTGTTTTTGAATTCTTCAATTTTCTTAGAGTGTTTGTTATTGAAATGAAAAGCACCACGACTGGTGCCTGTTCGTTCATCGATGACGCTCAACATTATATATGTCAGAACTAAACTGTGCAAATGAAATTCTGGAACGTTGCAGTAAGATATCCACCAAAGAAGAGAAATGGCAAACAGTTGGAAATTCGTCGGCAGTAACTCAATATCAGACCAATCAAGACTGGGTAGTTTTATATCAATGAAATGGTAGAAACATTTCTTTAATTGATCAGCACTGAGTTCAGGGAACGTTATTTCAAACGGCCGTGGTACGGAATAATCTCTGTCGATTATAAACTTTCTATAATGACGTAACTCTCTTCCGATGTAGAAACATTTGTCATGAGAGTAGTCTGTCAGCATGTCAAACAAGTACCTTAAAACTGGCAACACACAAAAAAACGAGTCGTCTTCAGTGAAATCCTCCGCTTGTGGGTTGCAAATATGGAAATGATGATAGTATAGATTCAAAAAGATTTTCGGAATTTGGTTGTGTCGTATCTTTTCCACTACCCATTCAGGTAAGCGGTTTGGACCGGTATTGACAGGTTCCTTAATTTCTATAGCTTCCACAGCTTCTTCTACACTCTCTTCATCAGTAGAATCATCTGAATCACTACTTACATCTGTATCACTCTTTTCATTTTCTGAATCGCTACAGTCTTCATCTATAATATCTGGCATTTTCAGCTCCTTGTTATTTTTAGACACATACTCTGATAAATTGAAATATTTTAATGACTGACACTGGTTATTGTGATAACCTTCAACACTCCGTTTAATGATTGCACAAACTTTACTCTTTTGATGTATTTTCAGTCTCCCCAAAACTTTTTGGACAGCCGTATCAAATGTCTCATTCTGCAACCATACAAATAATGCATGAATATTTCTCTGCTGACTATTCTTCTTCTTCTTAGTTTTTTGCAGCTTTAATTGTGAGAAGAATTTATTGAAGACTCTTTTCTTTACATAATCATTTCCAAGCAGTGTGGCTAGTAATGGCAACAACTCAGGCTGCAGGTCGCTGAAGTGTTTACAGAAGTATTCCACTGTGAAAAGCCTACATTCCAATGCAAAGAATTTATTATCTTTTTCTTCTACGCATTGTGCCTTCACCTCTAAAGTGTTAAAGGGTATATACTTGACATTGTAAATAAAAAAATCAGAATCATAGCTCAGTACGGGGCAATCAAAATATCTAGCCAGGGCTGCTATTTCATCATCAGCCTCAAATGCACACACAGTGTATGATATTTGGAGTTCATTGAGAACCTGTGTAAAGACATCTTTCAGTAAATAAGGAAAAATTTGTAGACTGTCCTGAGTCACAGGATCCAAGCAAGCAGTTCCTTTTAATTTTGATCGAAGACGGCTAAACACTGTTTTGAGTTTTCGGTGCTCGTGGCAGCCATCAAATATTATAAAGGGTGTTATGTTACATTTACGTAAGTTTTTGAAAAAGGTTTTTGTATGCGATGCATATTTATCATAATCTCCCCCAAATGCTGAGAAACTGATCATAGATCGATACAATTGAGCACATAAACTGTTCCCATCGATAACAAGTTTTGAATCATGTAAATAATACCTTTTCATAAACAGATTCTGATTATTATTAATGTACGTAGTCAATCCTCTAACACCCATATTGTCAAGGTTTTGAAATGTTATTTTTTTTGTTAATAATGTTTATATTCTTCACTTATGACTTTGACTTATTTATACAAAACTTAGGTTAATTTTAAAGGTTATAATCCAATTAACATTACAACAGTAGAAAAATTTGTAGTAATTTCCTGTTTCGTAATATTAAGCTTTAATGCTATATCATGATTTCGTAAATAATAGTACTAATAACAAAGATGAAAGAATTAAAAACAATTTTCAGTACGAGAAATTATGTCGGGACAACATTGACGGCTGTCAAACATTAAAGATGAAAATTCACAGTAATTTGGAATCTAGGTAGTTTTATTTCCTTAAATATAATATTTTATAACCTGGAATTAATGGTATTATTTTTCATTTCTTACGTTTGAATAACATTTTTAAAGAATATTTTTTTATCATTATAGTGTAGACCTCGCATTATTTACATCCTCCTTTTTATACTCTATGCGCGTTTGAAATCAAATTTTGCTAACTTCAGTTTCTAATCTTTGATGCCGGTGTTTCTTGTATGTATGCGTTTGCATGTGGCTTTTATTTAAAGCACGTGTTTCTTAGTATAAAGCTATACAGTTTCATTAATTAGTAAAGCTTATATAAATAAGGTATCAAGTACAATATATAGGTTGCAGTCTACTTGTAAGTTTGGAAAACTAAATATTCAATATGACTGAAGAAAAAGAGGTGCAAGCTGAAAATAACGAGAGTCAAGATAAAGAAAATAAAAATGAGGACGAACAAAACAAAAATGCAGAAGTTGATAACGCAGAAGAAGAATCAGAATTGGACAGTAGTATAATTCGTCAAATCGAATACTATTTCGGTAAGTTGGTTATGAACAAAATTTATGCATAAATATTTACAGTATGCCAGGGCCACAACTATCTGTTAATGAGTTATGAGTGATATTTGTATAACAGCTATTTATTTGCCTCGCTACTTAGTCTTAATCGAAAAATCGTAACAATTCATATTAAAAGCCAATAATAAATAATAACATACAATATGTAATTATATACATTCTTTACGGAATATATATACGCAAATCTATTTTTTTAGGTGACCTTAACTTACCAAGAGACAAATTTCTAAGAGAGCAAGTCAAACTTGATGATGGCTGGGTGCCGCTGGAAGTATTGACCAGATTTAACAGACTTGCAAAACTGTCGACTGACATCGGAGTTATAGCAAATGCTATCAGCAAATCCACATCAGGTCTTCTAGAGGTATTTAGTGACAAGAAACTTCTTAGTATTCAATTGATTTACCTCTTAGTATTCAATTTAATAACTGTTCTGTTGCCGGGTCAATCACATTGCAGGGAGAGAAGCTTTAACAGTATTTGGGACTCGCGACCCAGGTGTAGGTTTAAGGGGCCCCTGTATAACATACGTTAAACGCTCACCTCCACCGTCCAAGCTCCTCTCTCTACCTAATCTTATTTGAAAATATATAAATAATGAAGATACTTATCTCCTTATATGTGTTATGAAAAAGTATGAAAATTTAACCAAAAATGTTTTCCTTCATTACAAGACATATAAATACTGATTATATTAGTTGAACTCCATTATTAATTTTACTTGTTTTCTGTCTTACTCTAGATGAATTAAATAACACTTTTTGGAATGTATTTGATAATTTTTTCTATATAATCTCTTCACCTATCATACAAATATAATATAAGATTTGTGCAAGAGTGCAACCAGTGTTCATAAATTTTTTATTCAACATTCCCTAATTATATTTTCAGATATCCGATGACAATCAAAAAGTCCGACGGAATCCTGAATTACCGATACCTGAGATGAATGAAGAAAGACGCAAAGAGTTAGTTTCTAGAACAATCTATGCTAAAGGATTCGGTAAAGACACTTCCCTTGACGACATACTAAAGTATTTCAAGCAGTTTGAAGAAGTTGAGAACATTATTATGAGGAAATATCAAGATAGGAAGACAAAGGAACGCATTTTCAAGGGTTCTGTTTTTGCTACTTTTAAGACAAAAGATCAGGTATGTTAAATAAAGGGATATCAATATTTTTAATTTACATTAACTATATATCGGCTTAAACACGACCCAAAAGGCTGGTCAATAAGCTTATTTATTAAAGCGAATTCAATCAACATTGATTCTTAATTGGTATCACTCTTCCAGGCATTAATGCAATCCATTTAAATGAGAGATAAATATCAAACTTTTTGACTCAGCTATTAGCTACTGTAAAAATATTTTCTTCATAATTAAAATATACTACTGTACAACTCAATATTAAACTTTAAGTCATACCATATTATATATAAATATATACTGCAGTCTATAAATTTTATAGTATTCTAAAATTTTTATATTAATTTATTATGTTTTATAGGCAGATAAATTTATGGAGACAAAGGATCATAAATTTAATGATACTGACTTACTGGTTATGTGGCAAGATGCATACTTAGAGAAGAAGAGGGAGGAATATGCAAATTTTTCAGCAAACAAAAAGAATAAGAATAAAAATAGTGAATCAGAGGTAAGTTTAATAATAGTTTAAGGTATTTGACAAGTGGAAATATTTGTGAATGTTTGTCATAAGTATAGAAAGTCTTATAAGATATTTTAATAATTAAATGTTTGTGGTTCAACACATATTATTAAAAATACCTATTTTAGTTGAATATGTATAAAGTCTGTTTTGCTAACTGTGATTGAGATTTTCCTAGAGAGAATAAGCCTAAGTGTATTATAGTATAATAAACCTTTTTGAGATATAAATTAAATATTTAAAACCAAATAGTTCTAGTGATACTAATGTATCATATTTAATAAAACAAATATAAATAAAGAAATGACATTGTATATAATGATATAAACATTCCAGCAAAAAGAGAAAAATGAATTCAAACTGCCGACTGGTACAGTGCTTCACTTCAGTCAGGGTCATGACAAGATGACCAGAGAAGATGTGAAAGATGCCCTCACTCCATTAGGTAATAGAACACAAAATAACTTATTAGTTATACTATTATGTACAACTCGTAAGAATCAACTGTGCACTTTTCTGGAATGCGACCCCTCTCCCGCTACCCCGCGCGGCGCCCCGCATTCGCCGTAAGCGCTCAGTAGTGATAGCATCTTTGTTACATTTACTTATTATTAAATACAAAAATATTATTAATATATTTAAGAGGTGGTAGAGCCTAGCTGTAGTCAAGTTACTGTAACTATAACTGTAACTGTAGTTAAATTACTGTAGTCAAGTAGCTCGAACATGGGCTGGCTCGACCGGGGAAGTACAGTAGGACCCCGATTATCCGGACCTCGGTTATTCGAATTCGCGATTATCCGGACTGCCAATCGTGACGAGTTTATTCTAACACTAGCTTTTGCCGCGACTTCGTCCGCGTGGAATAGTGACTTCCGGCAGATTTTTGGTTCTTCCCACATACTCGTAGTTCCCGTTCTTGCGGGGTTTTCGGAATGGTCGAGTTCCCGTAGAATTATTAGGATAAAACCTATGTTTTTCTTTTATTCACAATGAAGTACTCTAACCAACAACATATTTATTTGTTTATTTGAATAAAGATTAATATTATTATGTTGATACAACTTAAACAAATTATTTCGACCAAATTAGTTACCATAAAAACGGTTTTTGTGAATTAATCTTAAAAGATAGACATATACTGTCGCGGATTGTTTTTTAGATCATTAAAAGAGCTATTATTCTTTAATACTTATTTTTTGTGTATCTTGAACCGTTTTCGTGGCGCACGCAATTGAAGGCTTCAAAAATGAAATAATTTCTCCCGTTTTTTACACATTTACCACTATATCTTTGCTCCTATTGGTCGTAGCGTGATGTTATATAGCCCAAAGCCTTCCTCGATAACTGGACTATCCAAAACAAAAGAATTATTCAATTCGAACCAGTAGTTTCGGAGATTAGCGCTTTCAAACAAACAAACAAACTCTTCAGCTTTATAATATTAGTATAGATTAACATGTCAGAACTTGCATAACGCCACGCCACTCGCGCCGTCCGTGATTTTCGTTGATTCTCGCTCATATGTATTTGTTGTTTTAAATAAACACCTAACATTACATATGTATGGTACAGAATACATATGTACATTTGCAAAAACCCCGTTTTTCTTCATATATTGGATTATCCGGACTTTCAATTATCCGAATGCCTACTGACAACAATTAGTCCGGATAATCGAAGTCCTACTGTACCACCCTCTCACAGAAAATCGGCGTGAAGTAGTCTTTAATGGCTGCGTTTCGTCCGGTGAGTGAGAAACCCGGTTGCCCTTTCCCTTTTCCCACCCTTTCCTGCCCTTTCCTTTCCCTCCCTTTCCCACCTTTTACTCCCCATTTTCCCCAAACAAGGGCGGCAACACATCTGCATATCTACGTTGCAGATGTCAATGGGCGACGGTAACTACCTACCATCAAGTAGGCCGTCTGCTCGGTTGCCCCCTTTTCCCAAAAAAAAATAAATATGAAAAATGTCACCGCAATGAAAAATATAGCGTCCACTTGCCGTATTTTTATTAGTTGTAATATTATACCGGTCCATTTGTATCTACTTAATTGGAAAACTTCGTGAGTAAAATGACCTAGTATTATGACGCCTTATCATAAAAACGACCCTTTATTTAAAAAAAAATTATCATTTATATTTTTTTATATAATTCTCAGTTTTTTTTTTTGCAAGCGGTATCGTTCTAATGAATTCACAGTGCGAGTGCACAGTTAATTCGTACGAGTTGTAATTATAACATCTGTTAAACTGTAATTTATCATGAAAATTTTCATCGGCCCGTGATCACAATTGCTGAAAAGTAGCCGAAACGTCGGGAGCATGTAGTTTTTTACAAAAATAAACTTCGTAGTATATCCGACAAATATTAGTTTCCTTTAAACATAATTCATTTTAAAAGTTAACACAAAAATCTTAATTAAGTCATACTTATAAATATTAACAAATCCGCTTTCAGGTAGCGAGGTGGCTTTTATCAGCTTTAAGGTGGGAGACACAGAAGGTTGGGTCCGTCTGGCTAATGAGGGTGATGCTAAGAAAGTAGCCGAGAAGATTCCGGATGGAAAAATCAAGATCGGCGAATCTGAGGTCGTTTTCCGGGTGTTAGAAGGCGAAGAAGAAAAGAATTACCTCGATAAGACTATAGAAGAAATGTCAAAGAGGCGACAGAACATGAAGAAACAGAAAAAAGGTGGCAAACCACAGTACAGGAAAAGGAAACAGGATAATCACGACGATGCACCAAGAGCTAAAACAAGAGCCAGCTAATTTTGACGTATAAAATGTATTACAATCATATGTAATGTAATGTAAGACTAGCAAAACGAATTCTCCACACATTATAACATGCTGTAGTCATGTCTGTTAAATCTGTTATATACATAGCTATTTTGCTTCTGTTATATTCATAACATGGATATATTCAACACAATAAAGTTCTATTTTGGAATTATCAGCTTTTCATTTACATATTTCATACGTGTTACTCTCATACGTGTTACTCATAATGTAACTTGCACAGCGAAAGAAATTCCCTGATTGCAATATTATAACTTTGCGATTGATTTTAAGACGCATGTAAAAACTCGGACCGTTGTTAATTGTTTTCAAATATATGAATGGCATCAGTTGATAACCGGGTGGGTCAGATTTAAATAAACGGGAGTTTATTTTTTGTTCACAACCTTTAGTAACCTAAAGTATCTGATACTAATTACTACAGTAGTTATTTATTTACAAATATATAAAAGGAGGATAATACTCAGGTATCATCCTTTAAAAAAAACGCGAGACCAATCTTGAAATAACATCAAAAAAAGTAGTTCGCGTACTGTATAGATAACTGTAAATGCAATATATTTTCTTTTAAATAGAACAGTAATCTGTACCGGTTCAAACCACACAGTTCGGTATGGAACAACACAATAGATACTAAGATTGTCTTATCAGGAAAAAGATTTCCTTTTAAAGCCAGACCTAGTTAAAATTAAAATATTAAAGTAGACAAAAAATAGAGTACTATTTTGTAGTTTTTTTTTTGCAACTGAAAATCGTTTAGGCAGAATAATCATTCGGGTGATTGTTTTGACTTTTGACACAGGGCCTATATTGTGAACTGTCAAAGTCAGACGACTATAATATGTTAGTTCTCGTATCAACAAATACCGAGGCAATACATCATTTTTTATTTTAAATTGAGTTAATAATCGCTTATTACAAAGAAATTTATTTGTTCTCTGCACAATGAAACCAGAACCATCGTCCGGCGAAGACGAACAAGATGGAATTGTTACCGGCGATGTTATTGGAGATACAGCTTACAGTGAACGATTTGTGTTGAGATTATTGCTGAAATTTGCTAATTTAGACACTCTATCTGAGGAATTAAAAGAAAAAACGTTCGAAGGAGATCTTTGTACACTCTGGGATATGACTGCTGAACGAGATGTGGTGTTATTTCTTCAAAAACACGATACACTGAAGCTAATAAATTTTTCTTGGCCTATCATCGAGTCCCCGCGTATTATAGAAATTCTTATCGGCATTATTGGAAACATGTGTTGTCAGAAAGAAGTAACTGAAAAGCTTTTGGAAATGAATACATTTGTAAAGTCTCTGCTGTTGTATATACAATCGGACGATAGCTTAATAATTATACAGTTACTTCGTCTTATCAATTCAAGTTTGTTCTTAGCACAAGACAATTTTATATCAACATGGATGGAACTATTTATAAGTTCAGGTTATGCTAACAATCTGTATTATATACTTAAGAATTCATCTAATAAAGAACTTTTAGTGACAGGTTTGGAAAATTTTAACACAATATGTTCTTATTGTAACACTGAAAGACATAGGACACAGTTCTTTGGTCACTTTGTTAATTCTGTTGCAATGGAATCTTTATCAACAGCATTCATAGAGGTTGTTGTAAATCAAAAGGACTCTTGTGAGAGAGATGAATTAGAAAGAATATTATTGATTAGTTTACAGATTTTGTTAAATTTAGTAGGCTTTGATAAATCATGCGAAATGTACAATGAGAATAGAGAAGATGTTATAAAGATGATATCCATCGTACTATCATATTATGAAGAGAAATTAAACAATAAAGAGATTGATTTGGATCTTGTTGATATAATTGAATCCACAACGACGATAGTAAGAGCGCTTGATATAGCTGAGGTTTGTAGTCACAAACAATATTTCCGTCCCAGTTATAGCATGTGGAAGACATTGAGTGAAATTGCAATCTTTGATAAAAATGGCGGAGCCAGCTTTGAAAGTGAAGATAAGGAAGAATTACAGGTCTTTTCCAAAAAATTTAAAGCCTGTTTGAGTACACTCATTTTTACATATATGGAAAAATCAACAATTGACAACTTACTGAAAGTTTTAGATGAAATAGGAGATGACTACGATGAGTTCTTAAGTCTAGTGCGAGATGTTGATCTGGCGAAGGCAGTCTCAGAAAGGTGTTCGAGTTATAGGACAAGATTAAAAGAGACAGAAAATTGTTAATTTATACATTATGGAATTGAGATATTATTTTGTATATTTATATAATTTTATCTCTCAATACACAGTTAATAATAATTATTATCTTTAAATTCTGTTTCAATCATTTGTAACCATTTATCAATAAAATTCATAGACTTAAACTCGTAAAGCAATGAACCAGATAGTTTAAAGTAGAAATAATATTGACCAGGAATTACTGTAAATTGGCTTTACAACAAGAAAGAAAATGTATGAATATTCTGATTGATGAACTGTTGAATCAAAAAAGTATGTCATGTCTTGTGTTTATATACCTATACTAATGTAATAAAGAAAAATGTTTCTGATTATTATTATTACATTTAATTATAACAATACCATACAAATTAGTTATCAGTTAAATAAAACAAAGAATAAGAATTCAAACATTTTAGAAAAATATTTATCACGTTAAATTTTTATCTTGTACCAAATATTTAAAAAACTAATTAAGCATATTAATTATTATATACTAATATCAAAGATCTTTTCAGCGATTGATATTAAATAATTTTAAATCAACCGTTAAAATTACAAGTTATGAGAAGTGTTACTTTCAGTTGTTAAATATCCATTAATTTCAAAACTCAAACTTTCACTACGATTTAGACTTATATATTGAATATGAAAGAAATTCTAAACTTCATAAAGTTATTTTTACTATAGTACACTTATAATTAATTCTTAATAAGCCTGAAAAATAGAAGGGTACAAATAAAATGACAATATATATGGGATTATATATTTTGTAGACATTATAAAGCAACATTTACATTATCATAAACGAGTTTGACACCGCTGGGCGACTAAAACTACTCGAATGTAAAAGTACATCAACAGTACGAAGCACTACATACATCACATACACGCTTCAGACACGCACTCACAAATACTGAAAGGGAGAACAGAGATTAATAACTGTATATAATTTTTTTTACATTTAATGTACTTATACACTAACTAACCACTGGCCCCGAACGGAGCTATATCGCACATTAAATATCAATTCGTATATATCGATTAAGAATATAATAATAAAAAAAAACAGGATAAAGACTAGACTTTACACTGATCAACGATAAATTACTAACAGCAACAACGCTAGTGGCGCCTCCAGCGGACGACTTAGACAACGCAAGCGTTGACGCCGGCAACGACTAGCACGGCACCACACAAACAAAAACACGCGGCGTCTGTAGTTATTACTTTAAACGCTGCGTATTCAGTTTGACGAACAGTACTAAGGGTACACGAACCGCGCCGACGCTGCCGGCAATACTCAAACAACTGAGCGAACAAAAAATAATATTATATATTCCCTCAAACGTAACATGTGACCGTATCGGAGCACTGTCCACAAGGCGAATCAATAATATACAATCATATACGTTATATTTATACTACTTAATAAATTATATAAATAATCTGAATTTCTTTAAAACAAGTCTTAGGCTTCAGAATCATGTCGCATGTACCAACAGTAGCGAGAACCGGGTCCCGCTACTAGTATTCGCACATATCATTATACAGATAACTCAATTAATATAACACTTTCTATCTATAAAATAAGTTTCTATAGTATTAAATTTAAACAAACAAAAAAAAACAAAATATAAATAGAATGTGTGAAGACGAAAATAATTATTATTTACATAATTGTAGCCGAAACAGAGTCGCTAGTGAAATGAACGCAAGCCCTTGTACCAGCGCGGGCGGGGATATGTGACGTATTTGTGACGAGTCGATGAACACCCTATATATACGTTAAGTTATTAATTTGAACATCAATATCGTTTAAAAAAAGCTACACATTTCATTAAAAACACGCGAAGACTACTCTCTCGTATAATTTTTAATACACCCATCAAAATATATCTAACATCAATGTAAATATTATTTTTAAAGCGACACCATAGACAGTACCATTCCAGCCGAGTTTTCAAAATGGTCCGTTTTTGGCACATACCCATCGAACTATTTCGTAAAAATAATACTTGTGACGCATGGAGTGGCAGCGTCTATTGATAGGGCTTACAATATATTGAACAAACCTCCAATTTTAAATATCATAGAGCAAATTTTTAACATTTTATAACCATTGCTTATATTCGTTAAACCTTTCAAATTTCCATAGACTAATGGTGGTGGAACTTAAAGGCAATCGAGTAATCACGCTGACATACCTACTATAACGATATGTATCGACTGTTGGGATATGCTTTAACAAATCCGCTTTTCCTATAAACAACACGTCCACATTACCCGCCATTATCAAGCGACACATAATATATGGACACAGATGCGAGTATCGTTCCACGGCCACAGTCTATAGAAGGCTAAGTTATCTTTGGTACATTTTGTGAGCGAGACGATATAAAGTGTTCCATTAAACATTAAGAGGAAAGCCTTAAGCGATACAAATACATCTATATACCGAATACTGTCGTTGCCAATTAATTACGAACCTTGCGTTCATTACTATAAGATCCGATTCCCCGTGGTCGGCGCGGGGACCTCAGTCACTGGAATGTTCACTCGATGGTCCCCCGGCCGTCAGTATCCATTTGTACTTATACACAGACATCAATATATATATATCTATATATCAACCATATTATTAACAACCTAGTTTCCCCTCGTTCGTTGTCTTCACGGACAGTCGTGTTACATCTAACTACGGGGTCACGCCTACATCACGGTACGCAACAAAAATAAGAGTATATCGAAATACAACCGACACGGACGTCTGTATCATATACATGGAGATACAGCGACTAATATGTTTTGTAATCAATACAAACACGTTCAGTTCGCGCGATAATCGATCTTAACCCATCGCTATATCGACTGAAATCGCGTGCACGGTTCAAGGTCAGGTGATGGGGGGTATCTGAATGCACGCGACTATCGCTTTTAGGTGTGTATGAATAGTGGCGAGATTCCTATGCGCCGGAGAAGCCGTACACCTCGAGCACGCGGATCTCGAAGTCCCCGGCCGGACACAGCGGCGGGTTGTTGAAGGTGGAGCAGCGGTCCGTCTTACCGAAGCGGATGTTCTCATCCATCCAGATAGCCTGGCCGTCACTGGAAAAATTACAATAACAGATCTTATTTGGTCATTTCTGAAATATTTATTTATTTATTTACTAGAAGACCCGGCGAACTTCGTTTCGCCCTATAATCAAGAAATATCTGTTACGTTTTTTTATTTATATTTTTGGAGTTTACCTATTAAAGCCATAAATCTCCGTGTTTTGAAGTGATTAGGAATGATTAATAGTTAATATGAGAGTTACACTGAGCTAGCAAAATAATAATTGTCAACGTTACTACTACACTTGATGCACAAACAATAACGATGGCCGACAACTGTGTAGGGAGTGAGAGAAGTCTAATTGTGTGAGAGAAACAGAAGACCGGCTTCGTTCTCATCCCTACTCCGTGCTGTTTACTGGGTCAGAAGTGACACCTGTAGATATCTGGCGGGGATAACTTATTAAATGACGATTGATCAGTTATCGACCGGAGATGAAAAATGATTAAATTACTAAAATAGCTATTAAAAAATAAGGGTTGATCGTAGAAGGGTGAAAATTTAGGATTGTATGTATTTTTGTACGTTGTATCATAAAAAAATAGTAATTAAAAATTTTGTCTAAAAAATAAAAAAAAAAAATTTAGGGGTGGACTACCCCTAACATTTAGGGGGATGAAAAATAGATGTTGGCCGATTCTCATAGCTACCGAATAAGCACAAAAAATTTCATCAAAATCGGTCAGGTTGTTTCGGAGGAGTATGGGCACGAAAACTGTGACACGAGAATTTTATATATTAGATATACTCTTTATCGCACACCAATATAGACAAAAATAATAGGAGTGAAACAAAAACAAAGAAAAGAAAAATGTACAATAGGCGACCTTATCGCTAAAACAGCGATCTCTTCCAGGCAATATTTGGTAGAGGAGAAATATAGAAATGCTATTTTTGTTAAAATTATCATGTTTATATGTATAGAGCCATATAATGTAATCCTTATTTCGTCATACATCATTAAACTTACCATATACATAGTACGTTGAGTATGCAGGTCGCTCTAAACTTAAAACTAATATCGATTACCAATATATCGTATAAACCAGTATATACTGACCCGCCACCGATAGTGATCATAGTGTTATCAGCGGCCATGAACAGTGAGTTAGCGTGGGAAGTCTTCGTGTCTCCCTCTTCCTTCTTGTCCGTACAGCCGACCCAGGGGTATTTAGCTCGTATGGGATGCAGGCTGTAATAATAATAATAATAATACAAATCAACTGACCCGCCTCCTATGGTGATCATCTTAGAGTCAGCAGCCATGAACAGCTCCGAGCCGTGTGAGACCCTCTCCTCCCCCTTCCCTTCCAACCCCATAGAACACCCAACCCATGGGTACTTGGCGCGCTCCGGGTAAAGGCTGTGGAGTTAATGTTATACGTCTGTTTGTTACTGTGTGACATGGGTGAAATATTGTTATATATTATAATGTGTCTAAATTTCGGTCATAAGAACATTTAAATTATACCGTTAGCTCTGTGAACGAGGTTCAACGTGACAATGAATTCTACTTTGTACAATGATATTAAAGACACGGAATTATATCTGTAATATCGAGTTTTGATTAAATTAATTGTTAATAAACGACATCTTTATTTGTATATAATATTTTTTGTATCGTTTAGATGGACAACTTTAATTTTTCCACACGATGTGGAATGTGGAATTTAACAATTACTTTTAATATGAATGGGAAATTATTTACAGAAACATTAGAATTGGAATACTTAATGAAATGTTCATTATATTATAAAAATATATTTAGCGAACCTTATAAATAACTAGGTGTTAATCTTAATCTCTAATAAGTATAAAACACATGAAAGCTATTAATAAAATTTTCTAGAAAGCTGAAAATTAACAAAACATTCATCATGCAAGAAAACTAATATGAGTATTGTTATTTAAGACAAATATTAATAAAATGAAATTATAAGAGAAGTGTGTTAAGACAGATAGGTCATGATGTGTGTGCTCAAGAATGTGAAGCCTTTACCCGGAGAAACCAAAGTATAATGATTTTTATATAAAGAAAAATAAACGTGGACAGATTTGTTGATAACATAAAAGAAATTAACAAACAGAATTGATGTTCACTTTACATTTAAGATCAATAATGTAACAAATAATATGAACACAAATATATATTGAAACTAAAGTATTTTTATATAAACATAGGATAGAGATACGTTTATGATTAAAATATTAAGCATTTTAGCTACTATGATCATCATAAATAGCAAATTAAATATCATAAAAGAAAGCCTCAAAATCTACTTCATATAGAAAGCCAAGTTATACAAACATAAGTGCATAATTACTAATTTTTAAAACATATTAGCGAATATTTTATTAAATTATCATATATCTAGCTAATGTCCACTACCCCCAAAAAAATCCCAACAAACAGATAATATATAAGGTAGATGTCTGATGTTTAAAGTTTTCTCACCTGAAGAGAAACGTCTCTCCAGTACCGAAGTAAGCTTGTCTGTTGCCACGTTCGTCTTTTTGGTTCCTTTCAAACCACCGCGTAGAACAATACGCTCCAAATACCTGGAATTTTAGTTACAATAATAAAATATACTGATTTTGTTGATGGTTAGCATAGTTTTATTTGGGATTTTATTATATATAACACAATGTTTATCACTCACGTGCAATAGTATTCGTGTGCAGATTATTTATTAGTCATTATCTTATCTGATCTGATATTATTCAGATAAGCTGTTACAAAACATCAACTTTGAAATATGACAAATTCCATATATACATATTTAAGGATACTATAATGAATCCCTACTGATATTATAAATGCGAAAGTAACTCTGTCTGTCTCTTTGTCTGTGTTACGCTTTCACGCCTAAACCACTGAACTGGTTTTAATGAAATTTGGTACAGATAGAGTTGACCTTGAGAAAGAACATAGGATAGTTTTTATCTCACACTTTTGAAAGGTTCTCTTGGAAACGCGATATAACCGAACTCCACGCGAGTGAAGCTGTGGGCGGAAAGCTGGTTGTTATATAATTTATATATAGACATGTTGAATAGAAGCTCACCTCATTATTGCAAGTCTTAATCATGAGTAAGGTAGGTTCGTGATGTTCCACTCTAACGTAGAATGTTGTCAATGAACAGCCGTGCTCTTCAGTGGTGTAGAGTAGCACAGGCTGATACATGGTGATACGAATCGGTAGCCACGACCACAACGTGAACAACTGGAATATTGATAACGTGTAGTGCGGGTTCGATCCCGGGCCATACATGCTTTACGGTAACTAACATCGAACTCTAAAGGATTAACTATTAATAAAAAAATAACGAGATGAAACTAAATCTTAATATATTTTCTCAATGAATATAAATAGACTAAAGTGATATATATAACTTAATCTAAAGACAAAAAAAAAACGGCACATAATTAGTCGTGTCAAGTGACAGCTACGGTGCCAGTGCTGTGAACATCTATACAACAAAAAAACATTAAGACGATTTAGTTATATGGATAGACAAACGACATCACATGCAAGTATTAATATAACTATTGTGGAGATATTTTAACACGACCCAATACATACAACTATATATATATTGGCTAATTAAATACATCTCCATATTAAAATTACGCTATATTTAATATTACAGAGATATAAAAAATGACACAAGTACAGGAGCTACATACTAAATCGAAGAAGCTAGCAATAGAATTAAATGAAAATGACTGGTGAGGTGTGATATCTGTGTATTTCCGCTTGCCCCAAGTGCGGTGACGTTAATCAACCAGTTGTTTATGTCTCTCTTTGGATGTTCTATCAAACTATATGACTAAAATAAAACTACCCACCAGATTATTCGTTGTATGTTCTAACTATTATAGGACTAAAATAAAACTACCCACCAGATTATTTGTAAGTGGCGTTAATTAAACAGTACTTTGGATGATTTGAAACCTATTTTGTTATTGTATACACTTGTGTGCTTGTTATAGCCTATAGGTGTTAAGCCGTTACCAGAGAGACATAAACGGCAGAAGCCATCAACCCGCTGGCCTAACCTTCTGCCGGAGGTCCGAAGTGTGTTGTCGTTCGCTGAACACCGCGTTAGGGAATGGGAACCACAGGGCCAGGTGGGAAGAGCGCGGGCTCTGTGGACACGACGTGATGATGAACGGGCTCACGGCGTGGATGTTAGCAGTGACTCACATTCGTTGGTGAATGCTCGTTAAATAAATATAGATGAACTACATAGTGATGCCGTTTTATATATTCTCTTAGTTTAATAAAACTTAATCTTAAAATATGGCGAGTATAACATCTTTAATACCACAACTTCTTTGGTATTTTGCCTGCGATAAGTGGACAATGTATGAAGGTACATGTTCGTGATGATACATAGTCTTATTTTCTTGATCTTGTGATAGCGAAAATAATCGAATGTTAATACATCGGAGACTATCAATAACTGGTCAAATGATGTTACTAGCAAAACAATATAAAACAATTATAAAACCGAGCGATCATGCGCCACTGGCTGTGTTGATCAGATTCCATTATTAATCGCGGTTAGATATATAAAAAAACATAATAATTACAAAGAAAGAGTAACGCTTTTTTTCGATTATTATATTTAAAAGTCAGCCGAATTAAAAACAAAATCTGAACCAACGTGCACTTACCACAGAGATGCAAATCATATGAAACAAAAAAATAAATAAAATCGAAGCGACCTTTCGACTGGAAAGCTTGGCAGCAACATAATATAACACCTATAGAGCAAGCTGTGCATCTAAACATCGATAACTGTCGCAAAGACATTAGATGACAACACTACGTCTTACTTCGCTCTGGTCTAGAATCTGCGACTTGATCGCTTGAATCGGATAAACGCCCATCGACAGGGCTCGAGGGCCCGGCGAATGGGAGCCCTAACAGGAAAACCGACACAAGAGTTAGCACACACAGTCGATGACATGCCTTAAACATCACTATTAACCTATCTGTTAATTCACCAAGCTCGTACTCTCTTACGCTAGACCGCGATATCATACGCATGCCAATCAAACTCTCATATAGATATAAATTCAGAACATATTAATAAAATCTTACAATAAAACATCGATACATTAATGGTAAATCGAAAAATCAAAACCATCCAAAGCCAGTGGAAATGAACTTCGAATGTACGTCCGTTGTTCGGTGTGATGGTTCAAGGATGTAACACGACATGATGATATATTCACAGGATATCTGTTACAGAGCTACACGGAACGATACAAACATATCAAAAAATAAAAACAGGATAGGACACATAGGATATAAATTACAAGAAATTAAGACTCATGATCTGTATCATCGAATTACTTTACATTCGATGTGAATCAGTTAGTTTTGTTAGGAACGCAACCGAATGAATTTTATGACAAAAAATAAAAGCGAAAGCCACGCCTATGTTGTTGTGTACGATACCATCTGTTTGCACGTCTCCTCAGACATTCTCTGCAAACCAAGTAAAATAACATCTAATATACCATCGTTATATATTCAAACATGTTCTCCCTGCTGGTATAATAAACACAGTTTAGTTTGTATCAAAAATTCGATATATTCTTCATGTCCATGAACCTTGGCTTATATATATTGTAGGGTATGTCTTGTCAAGTGTACGTACCTCTCGTATGGTGAGCGTGTGCGACATCATCTGTATGTTGACCTGTGACTGGCTCGTCGGCAAGTTATCGGACGAACGGGAACGGACAAGCCTCAGCCCAGATATCACCTGCTTCGACTTGAGAGTCATCTCCGTCTTAATGAACACCCTGGATATGTACTGTGAGCTGGAAGATGAAGGGGAAACGACACGTGTGAATCGGACGAACGTGATGGAGCGAGCTTCACGAAAGAAAAACTAGCAAAATATACTGAATTCTACATTTAATAGGTTCATTTACCTCAAGGCCCTTATACTAAAGGCGGTTCTTAATAGTTTGGTCGGCGAGGCGGGCATGTTCCTACAGAACTTGTCTACGGCGTGGTCGACCCCGTTCTTGGTGGCCTCCGCGTACCACTCCGAGCTCTGGTTGCTGGAGTGCTTTTGGAACAGGATGAGTATCGCGAGGGCTACCCTGTAGAATACCTGGGTGAAGGATTAGGCGGGTATTCGTAAATCTGCTTCATCTAAAGCCATCCAAACTGATGACCAAAAATTTCCTTCAAAAGCAAGAGCAAAATTAATCAAATGAATGACTTATATAACTGAACTAACCTTCATGCCCTCGTGGAAGAAGCAGTCGAGCACCCTAACAAGGTGTGGGAATGGCAACGCTGCCAATATCCACCACTGCCAGTCAGCGTAGATCCGCTCCGGGCCAATGGTGCCAGACAGTCGTGACAGATGCTGGGCGGCCGACTTCTGCAACCAATGGGCGATGCTGTACGGACACTTCGATATACCTACAGGCTACATCTTCTTAATAGAATTGATAAACGACCATACGCGATTCATACATTATGTAATAACATGGTAATTCAATGATTGGATGTAAGCTTATAAATAATATAAAAATTATGATATTAAATACTAATTATTTTATCAGTCTGAACTGTTATCATGAAAAAAACAAAATTTAATGAGATCAAAGATTTTCGAGAATTTTATTCATTTAAATGAAACTAATATTTTTCGGATTATACTACGCGACTTTATTTTTGTAATAAACTACATACTCCCGACGTTTCGGCTACTTTCCAGCAACTGTAATCACGGACAGACGAAATGTGATCACGATTGCTGAAAATTGTTGATTGTTTCTTACACCCGAAAAATATAAGTTTCATTTATATAAAAAAATATATAAATTATGAATATGTAAACATAACATAAGACGTGTAGCGTGCCAGTTACACCGGTGAGGTGTTCGTGACAACATTTCATAGCCACTATGTCACGCGATTCCCTTTTAAGGTTCCTATACACAACCCCACACAAATAATTAGTGAAGTAGCGTGTTCCTTATCGTCTGTGTAAAATTCTATTACAATAAACTAAATATTGTGTTTTATATAATTTGTATTAACATATATTTAATAAATTTTATTTGTGTTTTGACACATGACCTCGTCAAAACACAAAATATTTCAGTAATTGCTTATAAATTTTACTGTATATTGTATTTATTACTGAAATTAAAAAGGACTACACAGAATTATATTGAAGAAGAAGTTGATCTTTTATTGAACGAGATCTCAATTACATACTGATAGGACTAAAAAGTTCTTAAACAGTTTTTTAATCATGCTTCTAATGAATTGTATTTTTTTTAAACAATTTCATTACCAACCAATTATATATAATATATTCATGAGCCAGTAACAGGTTTTATTTCATTATCTACTTAAAATAATCATACGTATGTTTAAGTCGATTCATTACAGCTGTCTGTTCATAATTATATAAATACCATATATTGTATATATGACTGTCAATAAAGTGATGTAAAAAGCTTTAATTAAAGTACGTCAGTAACCGATAACAGATCTGGGTGTGGTTGTTATCACAGCGACACTATTTGTTTAAGGATCCTAGTTCACCTTAGATATGATAACAGTTCGTGACGCTAAAGCATAAAAAGAAAATTATAAGGAATCGTCTTCATTGAAATCTAAGTTTAGCAATATTTAATGGTTACTTCACATAGAAAACAATGCTACTTTAAGTTGTAATGTGTTCAAATTTTCAAATCGTCTGCCTGTGATTACATTTGCTGTGAACTAGCCTAAACGTCGGGAGTATGTAGTTTTTACAAAAACAAAGCACGTAAAGTATAATCGAAAAATATTAGTTTCTTTTAGGTAGAATTTTTTGAGTTAAACATTTTGAGCGTACCGCATTTTCGTGTTTACGACATTAATTTGTTTTATTAAGATTTTGAGATATGAAATAAGATTAAAGTGATTTAAGGAGACTTTGTTTTATGATTTTATTATTATTTCCATGCGGGATTTTCAAACCAGGGCGCGTAGAGAAATTTTAGAAAGGGGAAGGAGGATTAAGAAAATTTACATTACTAAAAATAAAAACTATTCAATACCTAGGTAAATTCAAAAACATAATTTAGGCGATGATTTGTATTCACGAAAAATCGTAACACGATGTAAATAATTAAGTACGATTTTTTAGTTCTTGAAATTCTACCTACACTAAATTGCTTAAATAAAGAAGAAATAATACTTTTGACATAAATTTTAATAATGAAAATATATGATTTATTATCACAGTTTAAGGCGAAATAAAGATTGAAAAAGCCTGTTTTAATAATTTGGAGATCAGACTTACGGCATGTTTTTTAGCAATCTGCATAACAGTTTTCCATGTGACTTCGTTGAGTAGTTTTGTCTGTGTTATGAACATCTTCTCCTTGGACGCCACCAGACTGGCCATGCAGTGGTAGCATTCCTCCTCTGAAAATAATTAACAAATAGTCATACATTAATAAGTGAATAATTCCTTATAATTGAAGAAAATATTCAGTGGTGGCCTAATGGTTAAAAGACCCGCCTCTTATGCATGAGGGCGCGGGTTCGATCTTGGCAAGTACCAATGTGATTTTTCCGAGTCATATTTACTTTCTAAGAGTATTTAGACATCACTGATTATTGCATTCCCAACTAGGGTTGATGTCAGGCAGGCGGCCGGTCGTAAAAACAATTAGACAAAACTATTCACAACATGTAAGGCAGGCCCTCGCTAAAGCTCGGAAATTGCCAGGTAGAAGAAGAAGAATTGAAGAAAATATAGAACATATTTGAAGCTGATAAAAAATACGATAATACAAGATTGAACGAATCTTAAACTGTACATTAAATTTGACGCTATTAATAAAATTTAATGCAAACATTTGCTATCGTAATTAATGCTTCCGTTTTAAATGACAGTGTCTGTTTAATGTATGTACGAATATAATATGTTTTATGATAACTAAAATTAACCGAATTATGATTTTAACGATTTTACAATTCATATGAATGCTCCAGTTTTTGATGGGTTATTGGAAATCGGATTGAGGGTGTCAATTTATCCCTAATACGATTGTGGTGGCTACACCCCCTCTACCCCACAATGCCTAGACAATTGCACTGATTTGTTTTTGAATGTGACTTCGAACATAGTCTATAAATACTAAATATTGAGCATGTATTGCGCTATGCAAACTATGTAAATGAATTTGTTGCGTAAAAGATATGTAATTTCAAATAATCCCTACTAATATTATAAATGCGAAAGTAACTCTGTCTGTCTGTTACGCTTTCACGCCTAAACCATTGAATTGATTTTAATGAAATTTGGTACAGAGATAGAGTTGACCTTGAGAAAGAACAGAATAGTTTATATCCCAGACTTTTGAAAGGTTCTCTTAAAGCGATATAACCGAATTCCACGCGGGCGAAGCTGCGGGCGGAAAGCTAGTCTGTTATATTTTATAAACAAATTTAATCTAATAAGAAAAACCAGGAGAAATGTTTTAAACGCAGGTACACTAATATATGTGACGTCAAACGAACTCAATTTTAACAAAGACAAAGACCTAAAAATGGTTTCTTAAAAGTATATAAATTATATTTGTGAACGTTAAATGTAATTTTCTTTACATAACTTCAAAGATCTTATAACAAAAGCTCTTACAACGCCGTCCCTAATACAATTTTATCGGCCGGTGCGACTAAGTGTCTGAGTGGAACGTTAATAGGAAAACCTTGTTACCGTCTACAGGCATTACATACTTATAAAAGTATATAAATACAGGCATATAATTTCAAGGGAATCAAATATATAATATATTAAATATTAATTTACAAAAGTGGCTTAATGTTTTTCTCCAATCTGATGTATTAATTTTTAACTATAACAATCAAAAGCATCAAAAGCTAGTCCTTTTTTTATAATAATTAGTCAACGGTTACATGGTACAACGGTAATTATTCACAGGGACATAGTATTCATAATATTTGTCCAAAAAAATTATCGTCACGTTAATTCGACCAAATAATTAAAGCTATGTTTTATTAAATCAATTGAAAAAGAAATAAAGTCTATTCTGATTAACAAATCCAGTTATTTACGTTGCCCCTATATAATTATTATGGTATTTGTATATACATATATTTTATTTATGCCTAATTTATAATAAGAATATGCACATAACGCAATCAAAATACAAATAACTAATTGCTTATATACATCCGCATTTCTTTCGAGCACAAGTATCAATCTAACATGACACTTATTTAAAAATTTCATCAACTTATATACGTAAAATTGAAATATATAAAGAATGAATTAAAACGTAGATCGTACTATCGAACATAAAGAGACATGACTCGAATATAGTCCGAAGCCAGTACCTAATAAGAATGTAATGGAATTTTGAAAAGCATATAAAACCATGTTGTTTTATTACTCGCAATATTTTTTAAGAGCCCTCACGATGTAACTCATCGTTCAACATTTCTTAGCTAAATTTATAACGAATGTAATTAGTATTTTACCTTAAAAATATCTCTATTTTTGGAGCCGGTTGAAAATAGTCAAACTTTTTATAGATAATATTCATAATTCTGCCCGTATGAATGTGTTATTATTCCAAGAATATTTCTAGAGTACTGCGAAAGGGCAGTAAGATAAAGTCCTTAGTAACACCCACGCAAGTGAATCCGTTGAGAAAAACTATAATTCCCTAGTCGGTTATATGACACAGTTACTTTTTTCGAACTTACAAATTTTTTTTTTCATAAGTCGACTACCATAAATAATACGCAATAATATTGATGTTTTAAAGTAATATATCATATGGTAAATAAGATATGATATAGGCTTAAAATAATTACACCCAATTCATGCTTTAAAAAGTCACGTTACATTTGTAACGTGACTTTTTAAACCAAGTTTGTTTTGTTTAATCAAAATCATATTAATATATATTAAAGTACAGCCCCACACACGGACATCAATATATTTATATAACAGGAACGTACATAAATCTCCAATACCTACATAATATTACATTTCCTCATACCTGACACTTGACCTTTTTACTCTTTCCGTGATAAGTGTACGAGTTTAAAACATAGCTGTTGTTACTTTACTAAACACTGTTTTATAATTACATATATTATATAATATTTTATGGAGAAATTAAATACTTAAAAAAAAATGTATTAAGTTTATAAATTTATATAAGTTATGAGGGCTTGGTATCGATTGAAATTTCCATGCCCACAGTGTATACATATGTAGGTGTTAATTCAATAATTTGATTAATTTGGTTATCGAGATAATAAAGAAATAAAATAAGACTATTAAGAATCAGTTAAGAAGAATAAGACTATTAAGAATCAAGAAACTGCAGTCTTAAACGTCAAAGTAAAAGACGTTACTTAACAACCAGCTAATAAGTTAGTATTATCACATTAATTTATTTCTTTACTTACATTAACACTCATAGTAAAAATACTGATTATGTCTAATTAAAGTCCTAAACAATTTGCTTTTCTTGCAAAGATCAAAATGTACAAGACACTTAGGTAAGATATCTGCCGTCAATTAATTGACACTTTACTTTTCAATGGATTCCTTATCAAGTCCTGAAAGGCACAACAACGAAGTGATACTAAAAAAAAGTTACATCTTTATCAAATAAAATGTTGAACCCTAAAAATTATAAGTTAATGTACACGTGAGTCCAATAAAACATTAAAACACGTTTTATCATAATTGATAACCTATTATTAACATTGAAATGTAGATTCATATATGAATTAAAAACATTATTGTTATTAAACAAAAAGGTCAAATTTAAGATGAACGACCAAAACAAATATAAAAGTCGGTTATCTTGGAAGAGTTTATGAGCTAATTAATAACACACACACACACACACACACACACATACAATGCAACTTGAATTAGCTACAGACGACGATTTGTTTACATCGAACGTTATCAACAGTGTGCTTGGGTCGTACGAGGGAATATAAATTGCAAAATAATAACATATATCACATACTAGTTATTGTCCGCAACTTCGTTCACGTTGAAGTAGAAATCACGATTAAACGATAAATGTTCAAATGGTCATTACGTAATTTTATCCTGTGATAATTTGACAAAATTTCAGGTTAAATTATATACATAGTTGTCTTCATATCTGAGCTTCATTATTTAAGAGTTTCCTCAAAATCCGTTAAGTATTTTTTGGTTTTAAGAGCAACGAACATCCATACATACATTTATGTCCTGATAACATTTTACATTTATAAAATTCTGATAGAACGGAAAAATATACAGGGTGACTGGTGAATTACTATCGATATTTGAGGACGTGATATTTGACGATCATATATGACAAAATAAAAATTAATATAACATAAATATTAATAAACTTCTAAGTAAAGTTAACCAAAAGTTATGTAATTAATTACGCATCGTATGAACACCCTACAGATTAGGTATACACACACACACACACTCGCGCGCGGCGGCGTGTTGTTGTATCAGCACGCCGCCGCACGCGTCCACACTTGGAACACTTGAAACGTGTCAACACTTTATTTATTTATACGGAAATTTTGGTCAAAAATTAAGTACCTATTTTTTTTACATAATTCGAATGAGAATCATGTACCGAGTATGCTCCTTAAATATTGATAGTAATTCACCAGTCACCCTGTATATTTAATAAGAGGAATTTGAATATACCACCAAATGACACAAAATCCTCTTCATAGAAGATCCCAGATTGCGAAGAAGCCAGAACTCGGAAACAACTTAACTAAAAAACATACGAAAACATTCTTTCATCTAGCGACTAAGCAGTAAGCATATTGTATATTTAACAATAGTTATGTATGCATCGTACATATGTACTATATTACTCATAATATGACATTTATACCGTGTCATATAAATAACTGTTATATATTATTTACCTCAATCTTATACGGTTATAGCTCTATTATAAGAAGAGAACATAAATAATACGTCACATACTAAACGGCTTGTTATATCATTATGCGACAATATTTTAAATGATAATGTCTCTATTTGGGTATTATTTATATTGTATGGACAATAAATATTTTTATTAATATTCACGACACAGTTATTTGTTGTTTATTTGATATATTTATTGAAGTTCAAAAGGAATAATACAATGTGTGTATACGGATTTCCACGTAATTTAAACTTTAAGAATGCCTTCAAACCATCTGTATATAGAGTGAGTATCGATTGATCGGACACGTTCCAACGGTGATCTGAGAAATTCCGAAACAAATCATCATCTTGGGGTCAAAGGTCATGTTATTTTCGTACAATGGGTGGCAATTGAACTGGTGACCTCGGTGTAACGTACTCGATTTATGACTGTAACACTGAGCATACCGCACATACTAAGGTGTTTTCT